TGTATTGTTGTGTTTAATAGTTTTTTATTTACTTTAAAAACAATCACTATTATATATTTTTAAAAAAAAGAGTAAAATGTTTGTATTGTTGTGTTTAAAGTTTTTTTTTTTTTTTTTTTTTTTTTTTTTTTGATAAAAATTTATTGAATTTAAGAATGTTTCATTTTCTGTAGCCAGACAACTGTAGGCTGTATTTATTAGTATAAATGTAAAGGTCTCACTTTTGCATTACATTGTTTGAGATGCATACAGACTATTGTACCATTAGTGATAATTTGTATGCTACTGTTAATGATAAAACTCTTTTTGCATTTATTAAATGTTATAGAGATCTTAAAGATGTAATTAGAAAATATCCTTATTTATGATTTTAGGAGCTAATCGTACTGGTAGTGTCTCTGATGGAAATGTGGTACCCGCACCACCACAACCTGCTTCAATAAATCCCAGTTCTACATTACAAAAAATATCAGCAATGATACCTCCTCCTCCTTTGGCAAAACCGTCTGATCATTCTGAAGATGATGATGAAGATTGGGAATAAATTTTACCTTTTTTCTATTAGAATAAATAGAATTTTATAATTACGTTATATTAAGTTTTATGTATGGTTTCATTTACTATGCAGAAGAATGTCTATTTTCTTCAATCTGAAAAATTTTATATCATCTCTAAAATTCAAACTAAGATTATTTTATTTCAATTGTTATTTCTGCAAGATGTATCTTTTGAACTGAAAATTCTGCATTCCTGATGTATCATATGATTGATTGTGATATTTTGTAAAGATGTACAAATCTATTTTAGATACCTTTAAGTGCTTAATAAAATGTACTATATCTGCTGTTCATTCCATTGTAATTTCATTTCTAGTTATTATAGGATATAAATATTCGTGAGTTAAAAGACTAAACAGTTGATGTTCTTATAAAAGAATTTTTAATAATATTAATATATTTATTTAAATTTTTAAAACAGAATTCAGTTCTTCCTTTTAAGAATTATATATAAATAGAACATTTAAGCTTCTTTTATATAAAAATGCAAATTTAAATAAAGTTTGTCCATTTGAAATGGAATCAATTTTCAGATTATGAACATTCATCATGTAGAAAAATCAATCATTTCAGACATTTTAATGTTAATTCTTTATTGAATTTCACATTTCTTAACAATCTACATTTTCATATTATGGTTGGACAATATTGAAGTAAAGGTAAAATTTAAATTCCTATTTTAATTATATATTTAGTGTAGTAAAATTTTTTAAAAATAAATTATGCAATTTATTATCTGATAACTAGCTTTTTATTAATTTTACAAAAAATTTTAATCGGGGAAAAAAGAGAATAGTTTTTTTAAAAAAAATCTTTTCTTCTAAAGACATGTTTCATATTCAGTCCATATAAAATCACTTAGCTCTATGTCACTTGCATTTGCAATTTTTTCAGCCATATTTACAATCACTTCTTGATCTAAATCTGGAGATTGACACATTAACCAAGCACCTTCTGTGAAAAATAAATAATTTCTATTGATATTTTTATGCAATATTAAAAAATTATTTATAAGATAAAATATATATGTAAAATATTAAATTAAAATTAACTCTATCTAATCATGTTTTTTTATCCTTGTTATTGAATTGCAAATTCTTGAATAACCTATGTTATCCATTTTCCTATTTATTTAAAACATTTACTTTTAGAAACTTAGATCATCATAATGTAAAAATAATTAATTTAAATTAGATTAAAATGTATATTTCATATAATTAAATTATTTTAATGATAAAACTTTTTAAACAGATCCATTTCTTTCTTTTAAAAATTATGTAACAAAAATGCATAAGCTGTGAATTGAATATGAAATGATCCAGCATTTTGTTCATTTTTTAATTAATTCAACTGACATGTTTGAAATTAAACGTGTGAATTCTATCGATTCTGAACACTGAAATTCATTTGATATTGAAAATTGAAGTAATCAAAGAAGTATATTAAGACACATAATTTCTTAAAAGTTTTTCTTGAAAAACTATTTTAGAATATTTCTTATGTAATTAATATCGTAAAAGTATAAATAAAATGCAATTTTTTACTTTGAATTGTTGAGGATCCTAAATCTGCACAAGACCAGAATGCCAAGCATTTGTTATCCTCATCAAAGTCTGATATCATTATATTTTTTGGAAATACAGGACCTAAAGACAGAAAACAATACAAAAACCTTTATATTTTTAATTTGATAGCATTGTGCTCAGATTTTTTAATTAGATTTTATAATTAATATAAAAATATTCGAGGTACAAAGCTGTATTGCTCAGTGATGTTCGGGCACATATTTATAACTTTCGATGAGAAATTTAAACTATCTAGTCAAAATACGTTTGCAATAATATATACATATATATATCTCAAAAGTACTTTTGCGTTAGTGGAGTCCCAGATAAAAGCCGTGCAAATTCGCCAGATATTGTGACGCATCACATTACGATTAGAGGTGATTTGACGGTTTTTTTACTCTTGGTTTAAGTACAGCTTCATTAATAAAACAGTACCAGATTCCAAATTGGACTTACAGGAAATGCGATTAAAAATTTTTCATTGACTATTTCTCTGAGATATATATATATATATTCATTTGGAGGCGATGTTCAAACTGTTTTGACAAAATAAGTGGATGATAATATCCATCAAGTCGAACAATATTTAGTATGGGACCCAGAATAGCATTCCATTCTGGGTGTAAGCATAAATGTGTTCTTACTGAACTTGCAGTTGTGAATAGAAAGGGAGCTGTCGAAATCTTCTCTGGCTAGATAAGAAAGCAGATGCTGCTTAAGATAGCTGTTGCTCAATTTCCACCAATGACTGGCGCGCCCTCACCAAAATTTCTACTGACATGTTTATATTTTCCGCTGCAAAATAGATTCTGTTAATTAGGTTTTCTAAGAAATCTGTTGGTATCTTGTACAATGATATTCTGTACCATGGTAATAATCTGAAGCAAGTAGGATGTGCTGCTTTTAAAATTGCAACGCTTGCTTTCGTTTATCTTCTACTAAACCTTGATGAACCAAACAGCTGCAACTATCATTGATGCTTTTTTTTCATTAGGAATTTTCATACGGTAAATACTTGGCAGTAATGTTTTGGAGGTATGCTACTTTTCGGATGTAAAAGAAATAACTTTTATTTTTTTAAAATGTTTTGAAGTTTACTCTTTGAAGACGCTCAGAGTGAAATATGATCCTAGGTTCCATAGTAAATATTGTTCATCTCAATGTGTACCATCACTTGTTTTGTGAAAACAGCTTACAAACACATACATATATGCAGGGTATCTCAAAAATGTACTAGCAGGTAGATAACGAGGCAGATTTTGCGATGAATGTATGGAAATGGCACGTGTGAGTGCTAGCACATAAGGAAGATATAAAAATAGGTAAGTGAGAAAGTCAAAAGAAACAACAAAAAAAAATTTAACGATTAAACATTTTATAATATGCGCACAAAAGAAGTACCTCCATCAGTAATATAAAATTCACAGTGGCAGTGCCAGGATTGGCGAATTTTAGCAAAAATTTTAGGTCAATCATGCACATTTTCAGCAGCAATCTGGTCTTCATCAGTCTCAAAATAACTTTCATTGCTCTCACAGAATAAGAAATCCATGCTTGTCAAATCTGATGACCGTGGTGATGTGACCAAGGAACAGGCCTGGCATGTCACGTACATTTCTAGGCCAAACATCTTTTTACAAGATATCTTGTCAGTACTTTGTTTTGCTGTTTCTAAAGCAGTACGTGCATGTATGTGGCACCAGCATGATGGACCCCCAGCTTACTTCAGCAGGAACGTCAGAAATTAAATCGATGCTACTTACAGCCCGCATTGGAATCAATGAGATAGACCTATTCCTTGCCCACCATGAACATTAGATTTGACATGCATGAATTTCTTCTGGGGGTACATTAAGAGCATAATCTACAAAAGTTTCATTGAGTCTGATGATGATCTAGTGGTTAGACAAACAATTCCATCTGGAAGTCTACATGACGTATTTGATATTTTTGCTAATGTACTGCGTTCCATACACCACCGCTGTAAATCTTGAATTGCTGTTGGTAGTCACTCTTTTAAACACATATTTTAAAAAGTTTAATCATTAAAATATTTCTTTCTTTCGAATAAACCTGTATTTTTCATTCAATATTATTATTTTCCCGTCTATCAGTCTTTATATTTTCGTTATATATTTTTGAAAACCCATTATTTACATAATGGTGTACAATTAATATGCATGATTTTTAAGTTATGAAAAATTCGTGCACACAAAGGATACATATATATATATACTACAAACAAAGTAAGTGCCAACGGCCGTACCATGCTGAATATACCGGTTCTCGTTAGATCACCGAAGTTAAGTCATTCGAGGGGGGGTGGGAAAGGGGTTCCGTATCCAAAAAGGTTTTAGCCCCAATTACTAATAAATGATGAGAATTAGCGGGGATGCAAATTAATAAAAAGAAGGTATAACAATAAGAGAAATAGTGTAGTAAATAGTGCACAGTGGAGGGGGGGGATCGCCGAGGAACTCGGATTTATTAAAAATAAAAGAATAGTTACAAAAGAGGAATACATAATAGAAAAATCATCCACACATAGGTGGGAACTGTATAGGCCACACGCAGGTGACTTGTCTTGGTTAAATACATAAAAAAGAAGCTTATATACATTGTATCAAAACATCAACAAGTGATGTTTCAGGATGACTCATGCTGCCATCTGGTGGTAGAGCGAAAAGTTAATTGTGGCTATGGATTTCAGTTGATTGCTTTGAAAAAGTCAGGAATATATGAATTACGAGGAGCGGATAGGAGGGATACTCCAATAAAATAAATAAAAATTAAAAGAATTAAGAAAGAAATAAAAACTCATCCTGAGCATGATAAAAATAAAATAAAAATTTTAAAATAATAAAATCAAGGAGAAATCACCGAAGTTAAGCATCATTGGGCGCGGTCAGTACTTGGGTGGGTGACCACCTGGGAACACTGCGTGCCGTTGGCAAATTTGGGACCTGAATGGCCGAGTGTCTAGCGCTCTGGCGCTCGGTGCCACAGGTTTCGGGTTCGAATCCCGGCGGTGCCATGGATGTTTGTAGTGGTTCGGAATCCACTTTAAGCCGTAGGTCCCGGTCTTCTATGACTGTAAGAGCGTCACGGAGCAAAAGTCAGGCTTTTACCTACGGGTGCTCCATCACAACAGAAGCTGCTTCCTTCCCCTTCAATCATGAGTCCATATGGGCTTGTGGGCTTGGCCAGCCAAGTGGGATAAGAAACAACAACAACAACACAAACAAAGTCAACTAAAAACCGACCAAAAAGCAAAATTCTTCATTTTTAATGTTAACCCAGCACTGAGTGAAGATCCATTTTTACTGAGGATCACATATATTTTAGAGAGCATTAAAAATCATCTATATATATATATATCTTTCAGATTTTTCCATATCATCTGTGATATATTTGATTTCTATAGAATTGTATGGAGAAGTTTTGTAACTACTAATAGTGGCTACCACCGTAGTGACACAGCAAAATGTTCAGGAGTGCATCCTATCTCAACCTTGAATCAGATGACCATCGCATCCGCCTGTGAAAGTGTCATGGGTAGTCATTCTAATCCACTTTTTTTTTATTTTATTTTTTTTTATTTTATTTTATTTATTTATTATTTTTTTTTTTACAGAGGCATACATGGATTATCTCTGATGAGATGGTGTAAGGTACTATCATACTACTGTGCCCAAAATGTAAAACCAATTTTCAATTTAAATTTCCCGGGCATATGGAATTTCATTTTTTTTTCTTTTTTAAGTTGTTGGCACTGTCCTTGACATCTGTGTGAAATATTAAATCAAAATATTCGTTAGTGTTTGAGTTACGCTTGGCTTTGTGAGACGTTAAAAGTGATTTCGGCGAATTTTGAAATGTTTGAAGCAATTGAGAAAAGATCTTGCATTAAATTTTATTTGCAGAATGCATATTCGTGTGCGGAAACATATAGAATGTTGCAGAAGGCATTCGGTGAGCAAACTATATCGGAAAGAAACGTTTACAAGTGTTATAAACAGTTAAGAAATCAGAGAACGCGTTGAAGACGAAGAGTCCTCTATTCGACCATCAACCTCAACCGACAAAGCTTACGTCTAAAAAATTAATGATTTGATGCTTGCAAACGGTCGATTTACAATTAGAGACCCTGCTGATGATGTTGGAATTTCAAAAGTATCCGTCAATTCCATTTTAAAAGACGTTTTGGGCCTCAAACGCGTCAAATCTCGTTTGGTACGAAAAACACTAAATTTTTTGGAAAAACATCGTCGCGTTGAAGTGTGTGAAACAATACTTTCTGACTATCAGGACAAGTTGAAATGCATCATAACTGAAGATGAGACTTGGATTTATGCTTACGATCCGGAAACAACCGATCAATTCGAGCGAATATCGTGACAAAGATGAAGCAAGACCGTAAAAAGCACGCCAAAGTCGCTCAAAAATCAGTCATGTTGACTGTTTTCTTCGATTACCGTGGTGTGGTGCATTATAAATTCCTTCAGCCCGGTCAAACTGTCAGCAAGGAATATAATTTGAGTGTTATGCGTCGTTTGCGTGAAGTTATTCGCAAAAAAAGGCCACATTTATGGAAAGACAACTCTTGAATCACGATAATGAGCCAGTACACACTGCAGTGATTCTTCGTGACGTTTTCGCCAAAAATGAAATCCATATCGTTCGACAACCACCGTATTCACCCGTTTTAGCCCCGTGAGACTTCTGGCTATTCTCTAAACTCAAAAGACCATTTCGGAAACACCGTTTTGAGTCGATTGAAGAGATTCAGCCTGAATCGGCGCTTGAAGGCCATCCCGGCCAATGACTTTTTAGCATGCATTGATGATTGGAAAAAACGTTGGCATAAGTGCATTGTGTCCGGAGGGAATTACTTTGAAGGCGATGAAATAAATTTGGGAAAATAAATAAAGAGTTTTTGAAAAAAAATAAAAATTGGTCTTACTTTTGGGCACAGTAGTATAATACAACAGGTTCGCTCCTAGTGATCCTGCATACTATTTTAATAGTTCAACTATATGTTAACGACAGCCTGCGTCCTTTTGTGTTATTCATGGAACGTCATAATGGTACTATTATCCGATTAGATAATACAAGACATTATATGTCTCACATTTACTTTTTGCTAAATGCTGTGAATTCTTTTCCTTTACAATAAAATTGATAAACTCTCATGTATAGGACACAGTAGACTTCCAAATGCAGACACTCCAAAAATGACGCAGATGTAATGAAACTATTAAGAAATATCAGGAAGAATTATCTCAAAGTGAAAGTAAGAAATGTATCACTTCTTACATAGACGTATGCAAGCATCCAACGAATTATGGGATTTTCCATCGATTACCTATTTGGGCATTTAGTAAACAAATGGCAACTATTGATGGATACTTTTAATCTTCATTCGAAACTCTGTATATTTTGAATATTTTTCTTCTTTGTTTCGATTGAAAATAACGAAACTCTAAATTATTTTCATGGGTTTATAGAATGAACCAGTTATGCTTATTTGATAGCTATGTATCAATGTGTATTTTTTTTTTTTGTATGTAAATAACTTTTGTAAAAAATGCAAACCTTTTGCCATAAATAAATAATTAATCATCTCGTACGATCTTGAATTTTTAATCATTACATTAGCTGCACATGGGCTTTAAATATATATAATTTCAATATAAACAGTCAATTTCTTCATTAGTTTTTCTCCAAAGTAGTGTAAATTTTAGTCTTATAGCAGTATAAATTTAAAAATCCAGTTCAGAATTAAAAATTTGAAAATGAAAAAATTACTGGAAATGTTATATAAATGTAGGAAAATTTATATCAGTGATTAAATGAAATGAATAAATTATTTAAAATTCTTTTTTTTTTATGTTTCTAAAATAAAAATAAAAAATCGATGAGAAATCTTTTAATTAATAAATTTTTTTGATATCCCTAATTATTACAATTACTGTCATTATCATTGTTGTTAATGTATGCTTTCAGTCTTAAAGCATTCAAGTATTTCGTTTTAATTACAAATAAGTACATACGTATAAAGTTTGTAGGGCAGTTTTTTTCCCAGGCGTATGTTGTTTGCAACTTAAAAAACCTTACTGTTCTGTTCTATGAGGGCCTTGATGCTCTCTGCTCTGCCTCTCGGTGCCACACGTTTCGAGTTCGAGTCCCGGCCGTGCCTGTCCGGCGGTTTGTAGTGGTTCTGAATCCACTTTAAGCTGTAGGTCTCGGTCTAATAGAACTGCAGGGTGTAGGGGTGACAACTCTTCCCCGTAAAAAGAAAACATCTCTTATTGCGGAATCTGCCAGTAGACAGACGGCAAAGGCCCAAAATTGACTGTAGTGCTGGGAAGTTAGTTCTATTTACAGGGAAAAAAATTTCACAAAGATCCTTGATTGCATTGCTCTCTCTCTATCAAAATGCAATATTGTAGAATCAATAACATCTTATTATATTGCGTTTTGAATTCTCATCTTATTATTTGCGTTTTGAATTTTCGGAAAAAGAATTCATAATCTGAAGAAAATCTCCCTTTACACTTCCCTAGCATAACATGTTTCTTTGTCTTCCAACATGTGCGAAATAAAAAAGGGGATTACAAAAATTTTAAAACGGATTATAAAAGCTTTTTTTTTTAAATCATTATTTCATTTTAAACTGTAGCTTAAAGTCAAATTAAGTTATTCAGAATATTAGCCGTATTACCTAAACTAATTTGATTGCATTAATAAAATAATTAATTAAAGAGTTTTCATAAAAGAATATTGTGTGGTAACGATATCTATAAATTCTTTGCAATGTCAACTTGATAGGTGTTTTGAAGAAACAGAGTTGAAAAATAAATTAATATTTTATGACATACTTAGCGACATTTTTACACCAAAAGGTTCTCCTCCGGGAACAGTGACTTCTCCTCTTAAGAATGGTAATGAAACCTCACTTGCATCTTCTCTGACAAAAAAAAAATAAATAAATAAATAAAAGAATAATAATAAAAATATTAAAAGTCTAATAAATTTCTCCAGTTTTCCAAGAGAGCGTTTTTCACGATAAAAATATCAAAAATATTTCATTCTTAATCTAGCTTTTCTTTCTTTTAAATATCATATTTTAACAAAAATGCAATTGAACTACTTCAGGAAATTCATAAATTTTAAAACTCCATTTTAAAGGTAAGCCTTGAAATCCGCATTTATACTGTAAACGAATATAGTAATGGGAAAAAAATTATTTATGAACAATAGTTGAATACTACTTCATATAATTTATAAATAATAGTTGAATACTAATACTTACTTCATATAAATTATATCGATTCTGATTTCAGAATTAAAACTCATTCGTCGTCCAAATTTTACTATAAGACAATCAGGCATTGGAGCAACAGTTAAGCTGTCAGTATGCATCATCACATACCAAGTATCCATGATCTGTTAAAAAAAACGTAAAGCATTATCGTGAAAAACTCCCTTACTTTTAATTATAATTTTGAAAATGTAATAAAATATTATTCATTGGATATTCTTTAAAACATTTAACACAGGAAATTTATGACGTATTAAATAGATTTTAACAGTTGGAAAATTTTGATCTATGATAAAATTTTTTGCTAAATTATAAAAAGGCAAAAAAAGAGACGAAAGGAACAATTTGAGCAGAATATTATAAGTTCAAAATACTGGCATTCGTTTCAATTACACACAAACTACTATAGGTTCTCTTTAGACTTGAGGCAAACAGAAGATATGAAAAACACTGAAACGTTTTTTTAATTATTATTATTATTTTCATAAAAATTCAAATAAGTGATAATAAGTACAAGTCTTATTTTTTTGGATAAAATATATTTCAAGATACTTTTAATAATTAGAATAAATTACATTTATTATAGTTTCTATTTGGTGATTTTACACAAACCCTGCAAATTTCA